AGAGCTAGAAAGAACTCTCCTATTTTTGAATCTTTTCATTAAGTCATTGATTCTACTTTCGTATAACGCGTTCGGACTATTATCTTTATACTATAAATAAAAAACTTGGCAGTGTAGGGGCCTTACTTTAAGCTTAATATAAGATATATATCTGTATTTACGAGTTAATAATCCCCTGTTCCTTCAATAAAGCTTGAAGCTCACCTTTTTCGTACATTTCTTTAATGATGTCACAACCACCAATAAAGTTTTTCTTAATATATAATTGCGGAATTGTTGGCCAATCAGAGAATTTTTTTATGGATTCACGTATTTCATTATTTTCTAGTACATTAATATCCTTAAATTTTACATTTAGCTTTTTGAGAATTGATACTACAACTCCAGAAAACCCGCACTGAGGAAAGTCATAAGTACCTTTCATGTAAAGCACCACATCATTTTCTGCAATATCTTTTTTTATTTGTTCAAAATCACTCATAAATTTGCCTCAATAAGTATTAGTTTCTAACTGCAAAGCGTGTATAGATTGACCTTCTAAAGCTTTATGTACCAACCTATGTTGTTCTATTTTTGTTTTTCCAAGAAAGCGCCTGGATGTTATTTTTAAGTAATAGTGATCATTATCTCCAGCAAAGTCGAAAATTTTCACTCCCGCATCAGGAAACGATTGCTTGATGATCTTTTCTAATTCATGAGTTGTAATAGTCATAAAATTTCTGTTTATTATATTATAAATCTAAAGTAGTAAGATGCAATTGAATTTTAATACTATCTTATAATTTTTATTAAAAAATTGTATACTGCATGCTTTGGGGTAAAGTTTATGCGCCTTGTAGGCATTTATTTGATATGTTTTTTTTATGTATTAATATTTATGCAATAGATATAATTGATATTATTGCTACTTCTTGTAAGGGAATGGAGTTGAATCTAACTCGCATTAGCGAGTATGTCAAAACTCTGGATCTTGATGTTCATGTTGCTAAAAAATATACAGCAATGATAACCCATTTTACTCTAATTCTGATGAACTTAGGGCAAATAATTTGATTAATGCATTGACAGATAATAGTAAAATAATTTGGTATATAAAAGGAGGTAAGGGGGGGGTCTCGATTAATTCCTTACCTAGAAAAACTGCCTGATGAGCAAAAAGAAAAAATTGCTCAGAATAAAAAAGGATTCTGATAGGTTACAGTGATATCACTCCTTACATATCTATCTGCAAATAAAATATGATTGGCAAACTCTTCATGGTGCCATGCTGGAGATGATAGTAGATGCACTAGTTTCTGAAGATTCTGTTGATAAATTACAAGCATTAATTCTTGGTAAGCAAGATTCTATTAGATTTGATAATTTAAAGATAATTAATAAATTAAATCATGGCAATGGTAATATAAAGTCGACAATCATAGGTGGCAACATGACTTTGATTGAAAACTGCATAGGCACTACTTGGCAAATAAATGCAAAAGTAAGATTCTATTTTAGAAGACATAAAGGTTTCTCCATATGCAATGGAGCGTAGTTTAGATCACTTAAAACAAGCCAATATTTTTGATGAAGTACATGCAGTAATTTTTGGTGATTTTATTAACTCAGGTGATGATGATTTATTAGCGTTTGTAAAAAAGCGATTTGCACAAAGCGTTAACTTCCCAGTGTTCACAATGCACGGAGTGGGTCATGGATTCATAAATGATCCCTTACCTTTTAATACTTCTGCTATTATTAGTATTCAAGACAAAAAAGGTTTATTCATTATGGATGTACAGAATGTTAACTGCTCTTCCTAAACTAAATATATCTCTTGCTAAATGATAAGCCTATTTAGGAAAAATCT